TCCCAGCCCTGTCTGCAGCATGAGCAGAGTTCTCAGAAACTGCTGGTGAAACCACAYGGAAATCCCTCCATGTTCCAGCGTAGTCTGTAATGCACATCTCACAGATAAKGTATGGTCCTGAGGCTTTTTCTAAATGAAAAAGCCCTGGGCAGGGGGAGGCCCCAGGTCACTGCAGCTCATCCCCGTGGTGGCTGCACCCTGKGAGCCCCGGGGCTCTCACAGCCGAGCTTTTGGGAGGATGGCACCATCTGCTGCAGGGCAGAGCCTGGCCCGGAGCAAAGGCCACTGCAAGGGAATCAGCTGCCTTTGGGGAGCTGTGGGGTCCTGTGACACCCCTGTGTCCTCCCAGCAGCACAGACATGCAGCTGTCACCTGTGGAAGTCCACAGACACCTGGACTTCCCATGGAATAAGCTCAGAATCTCTCCCTGGTGCATTCAGCAGAGGCAATGAAAGGCAAGCAGGTTAAAGAGTCCCCAAAGCCTGACCATGAGTGGCTGTGGGAGGTGACATGCCGGATACTGCAGCTTCTTGCCCATTTTTGCAGTTTCACAGCGCAGTCCTTGGCAGCCCCACGACATCCCAGTGCCTGTGCACAGGCTCACAGCACAGCAGTGTGTGCCCAGCAGTCCCCAGCTCACAGCATCCCCTGTGCCACCTGCACAAGGGCTCCCAGAAGAAGAAAAAAGAAATGAGTGGGAGAGAACAACATAAAATAGCTGTATTTTTGCTTTGCATTAATGCTTGTTTGTCAAGTAAAATTGCCCTTTCCCGGGGCTTAGAACACTGAAATATTGTGATATTTAACTGCCTGCCTTTCAAGCTTTTCTCCTGCTCCGTGGTAAAATCTGSGACCATTCTGGAGATTGTTCCATTCCCCCTGGAGCAGTATTGCTTTAATGACGTCTTTACAGCCCTAATGAGTGTCCTTGGTACAGATTATAGCCCTGCTCATAGAAATTCATTGCAGGACAATGTTTGGACGATGATAAAATTACTTGTGGGGGACGAGGAGTTCAGTGCAAGGGGGTGCAATTCATGGAGCTCTGTGTGAGCTGTGTTTGCATTCACACATTCTGCACACAGAGAAAAATGAACCATTAGGAATAAYTGTAATTCACTGGGCTATTTTGGTTCCCATTTCATTTAGAAAAAGCCTCAGGACCATACATTATCTGTGAGATGTGCATTACAGACTACACCGGAACACGGAGAGATTTCCGTRCTGGTTTCACCAGCAGTTTCTGAGAACTCTGCTCATGCTGCAGAACAGACCTAAGCCATGAGTGAGCCCAGCTCTTTCTAATGAACCCCCCAAACACCCAGCAACCTCCTCCTTGTGGTGACCCCCAAACACCCAGCAACCAGCAGACCCTGCCCAAATAGCTCCAAGTTGTGTCCCTCACTGAGAAGCACTGTGCTGCACAGGGGGAGTCGGGTGCCAGGTTTGATTTCCAYGCAGAAAGCTCTTGTGGAGCCAGCTCGACTAAGGCAGTGCTGAAATTTTTGTCTGGATCCTTCCCAGAGCAGAGAAATTGAACGCTCAGGTCCTTTCAGAGCCCTTCAGGAGCTATTTGCTCATTATATGACTGTCACAGAGGTTTTGCAATACATCACACAGCACTAAGGACCATCAAGCYACTTAACCATGGAAAATTGCTTTAATGTTACCTCAATGCATTAATGAATGATTCATTAATTAATTCAAATKGTTGAACATTGGCCTTGCTTTCCTACTAGGCTGGAATGACCTCATGCCAAATCCAAGCAGGATGGGGGTGTTTAAACCTCTCTGAAATCATGGTGGTTGTGAAGATCCCAGTACCTACGGCGGCAGCAGATGCTGAGGCTGCTCCAGGCTGGAAAGATCTTTGTGGTAAGAGGGAGCAGGTCCCTTTACAGAACCAAACCATCACTGCATCTCACCAGGAGGAGACCTTTAGCCTTGAAGCTCCTTTGACTCGTGGCAGTCCCAGGAATTAAAGCAGATTTGCAGGCACTAGCTGGACATGCTGCTCACACAGGTACTGGGCAGACAGGGGAACCAGTTTCTGAAGCAAAACCATTGTGCTTCTTAATTTTCCAGGGCARCCAGTAAAGTCTGGAAAGCTTTTACATCCTTTCGTTCTGCAAAGAGCACTAGATTATTGATTCTATGCTAAAACCAACAAAAGCAATCCATTTGGATTGTTTATAAGGAGGTTACTAACRTRGTAAATSACTTGATACCAGAATAAATTCACTRTAGTGTCARTCRTTTAACTGGCCAGGGAACCAATGAGACCCACCAGGCCATAATTAGAAACTGCAGGTGTTTTGAACAAACAACTGCAAAAACCAGCTGAGAGATGACTGGTTACACCCAGGGAAGTGTTGGGTTGGAAATTTTACATTTCATGTTTTATATTCCATGTTGAAGACAATGTTCCATGCCTGAAAAACTGGGTGTATTTAGACTTAAAACAGGCAGCAGTTTCTCAGCTTGGTGAGAGACTAAACACTGAAAGAACAGGGCAGTATTTAAAATTAGGTCATTCTGAATGGCAATAAAAAATGGGAAAAATCGTTCTCAAGTGCAGGAACATACCAGTCTGGAGAAGACCTGCACATAGCAGATGGAAATAAATCAAGTGTCACTAGAAACACCCCGACAGGGTCAAAACAAGAGGTAAAATGAATAAAGAAGGGACTGAGCTCTCCTGAGCTCAGACTTTCTCCCTCTGGCACACTGGGATGCTCGTGGTGCAGAGCCTCCCATACAATCTTGATCTCACCACATTGGAGCAAGGAAGCTCAGTGCATCCAGCTCTGCCCTGCAGCAGCCTGGSTCCCTGGGGAAGYTGAGTCTCTGGAAATCACTGAAACTTCAAAAAGTGGTGGATGATAACCTTAATCCACAGCCAGGAGGAACTGCAGCAGTGATTTTACTGGAAACACATCAACTCCAGCTACTACAGAAAAACTTCCCCAATAATGGTTGCTGTAATGCAAATCTCTGTGGCACCAACCACCAGTACATTGTTAATAATTGCCACACAAGAGTTCATTAAAACAGAAAAAATCCTGCAAGGGAGGAAGCATCCTTTCCCCCCAGGACTGAGCAGTAAATGAGGAAGTGAGAGTTGAAAGGACTCAGCCTTGGAGTCTCYGAGCATCACAGCAACCCAGCACATTCTCAGCTCCATCCTCTGCCTCAGAAAGGAGCCAGCCACCCTCACTGTCCTCAGGGCCAGGCTGGCAAACAGAAGGCCCTTTATCAAAAAGGGAGGAATTGCTCCTGTCCTGTAACACCTCCCACCCCCTTTTACATGCCTGGAGGATCAGGTGTGACACTGAGACAACATAGATGGGAGGGGGAATAAAGAAACCCACAACTGTTAGATGCTGGGTATCAGTCAGTTATACATTCAGAAGTCTGTGTTAATTAGGGCCTTTTCAAGAGAAGAGTCAAAGGCCTTTACAGACACWGACATAAACAGATTTTAACAAGAGGTGGTGAGTCCCAGTGTTGGAGAGGCATCCCCAGTTCATACAGGGGAGACTCCAGCTAAGGCTATGTGACACCAGCAGCCCCCCACCACCCACCCAGTGACAGCCAGAGATCAGCCCCATTGATTTTCCAGGGAGTATTATGATATTAAAATGAATAATCGTGCAGGGGCTGATAAAGGATCTTTCCCTGTGTAATAGTCACAGCTCTTTGTGAGAGCCCAAAAGCACCRGGGTCATCTGGTCACTCAGAGGGAGCAGTACAGTGGCTCAGGGAGGAGGAATTGATTTTTTGCTAATGACTGTGTGTAATGTGGCAGTTATGCACTGCTGGCAGAGACCAGGGCTGTTTAGGAGGATCTGATAACAGCTCGCACCTGAAACAGGGTATATTCCTAGGCAGAGGGGAGTGCAGAGCAGAGTGGAACAAGTCACAATTAATTTTCTTATTTTTTAGATATTTCTATTGTCACCTCCTTTCCTGCTTAAGTCAGGAAAGCTCAGAACATGGAGTGGATTTGTCTACAAGCACCAAAATGGTTCCTTTAATTGTTACACGTGCCTTCTGAGAAAGGGCCCATGAAAGTSATTGAAGAATTATTTTAAAATAACATCTTAGAGACTGAGTGAGCTCTTTTAGTTTATCCCCAAGTGAACACTAACTTTGAGGAAATTCTTGTAGTTGATTGCACTAACYAAGAAAACCAGGTCATATAAAATGAAAGAGCCCATATTACCTGTGAAGCAAAAGTGCCCTCTCAGCAGAGACTTGTTCACTCTGTGCTTGTCCTGGACCATTATTTTCACTTCCCCAAGATATGTTTTGTGAGGAATGCTGCAGGGACCAGCCATCCCTTGTGATGAACTGTGCCACATGGGGCTGTGAGCTGGAAACAAGGACTGGAGCTGTGGCAGAGATATCATCCCCTCACCCTCACAGGGTGCAGCATGGAGAGAAGAGCTGAGGAGCATCAGAGAGAAAAAGCTGCCCAAAGACCATGGGCACAGGAGATGGAGCCCCAGAACTCAACAACTGCTGACCACCTGCCAACGCCCCAGCCCACCCCTGCCAGCAGCTTCTCTGTGCAGTGACACTTCAGCAATAAAAGCACACGGTTTTTGGCACAACAAACCTCAGAGAGCTGAACAGAAGCTTCCAGACTCCCCTGGAGCACAAGTGTGACTGCTCCAARTAATGAACCTCTGTGTGATTACAGCGAGGCTGAGCATGGCTGCAGCAGCTGGGGTAGGACTGGCTGGGCTTTGCCACGCTGTGTCCCTTGGACCCTGTGAAGCACATCCAGCTCCTCCAGCCAGCGTCACAGGTCCCAAGGGGACACGGGTGACACGTGGGGGCTCAGAGCATCAGCACCCACAGCATGAACTGGGGCCTTGGAGTTAAGTCACTTAGTGAAAATGTAATTTTCAATATTTCGTTAGGATCTCCCCCGTCTGTTAAGCATCAAGTCGGAGAGTTTGGTGACACTCTAAATGAAGCTGTGAAGAGATGCGTTTGTTTTAGATGTAATTGGACAGCTGTTTTATTATGAGTTAATGAACTATGATGATTAAAAAGAATTCAGCTTTAGCAAACCATGTATTAACAATTACTCTGGACTGAAATCACAGCTAAGCAAGTGCCAGACAACTTTCATGACAATGACTGGAAGCAGAAGATGAAAAGGAAAGCCAGTGAGATGCTGCAGGACAAGGGATGTCTCCAGGGCAGGCTCCCAGGCATGGATTTCCTGGGCTGCCCCACAGGAACCACTCCACACCACCACCATCTCCTCTGGCCCAAAGCCCCTTCTGGCCCAAATCCATCAGCAGGGTGTGCTCACACTCTTCCATCTTCCCACGCTCGTGTACCCACTCTCCCCTGGCCACAGCATCCCAAAAGGTGCTGGTGGAAGGGAGAGGGGACAGTGATGGCAGCAGGCTCAAAGATAATTGAGACACAGAGATAATTGACCTCTTTGTGATTGCAAAACATATTCCAGGCAGCTCTTYCCCCTGCAGGGGTCACTTTGGCCATTTGCCCTGAGGCACTGCACAGAATGTGGTGCTCCCTGATGTAGGGCCATGTCCTTCCTGACTGTAAGGACACCTGAGCACCAGCAGCACCATGGAAAGCTGATCCTGCTCTTGTCCTTCCCACACTTTCCAGTTTAGAAGAGATTTTTGCRTTTCAGCTGGACCTCTTGACAAAGACCAGAAGTTACAGAAAGCAGCTGGAGTTTCCAGTTCCAAGGACTTCTGGAGCAGTTTTTAAGCAGTGGAGTCTTTGCTCTGAGAGAGTTTCCATGAAAAGGTTCTAAAGAGTTAAATGAAGACGGGTCCATATGTCACGTGTGCAAATCACTTATCTCCTTCTGTTAAAATAAACCTGTTCCAAATCACTGTGACTTCCCAACAGCTGCCTGCTGATCTTTCTCCACTTCAGCCCTCCATTTGGCCTTCTTCTCTGTGTTCATCCTCAGCAGGGTMTGATCCTTCTTCGCAGCCTGGAAAAAGATTTGGYGCAAATCATTGCATGCACACAGTTRCCACCACCAAATTTCCCCACATTTCCATAACTTCCTTTGACACCCCACTGTATTTTCTGATACTTTGCAGTGATAAAAGTTAATGTGTTTCATTGTTATACTACATTTTCAGCATTTGCAGCAGGAGATTTGCACTGTAAATCATTTACAGATGCAYTGGGTCTTGCAAGTCAAACTGGAGACCCAGCAGTGGGGTGGGGTAGGAAGAAGTGTCACAGCCCTTGGTGACCATGGTGGCAACCAGGCCAGGGAGGAAGGAGCACAGGAGCCTCCTGGCTGACAAGTGCCAGGCAGAACCAGTGCCACTGACACTGTCTGAGCTGCTCCATCACCCTTGGCTCAGCCTCTTGCTCAGACACCACCCAGGGCACTGCACTGCACGGGTTTGTGGCAGAGTGGGTCAGAAGGAACACATGAATCAGCAGGCTGTGCCTCCCTCTGCCAATGTCTCCTCTGCAGAAGGGGTGGTACAGATCCTGTGCAAACATTGCCTGGGTGTCCTTGCTTTCAAACTGTCACCCAGGCACTTATTTCCAAAGAACAAGCATAGACCATACATTGAGTGACCTGGCTCACCCAGGAACAACACTCACCTGTTTGCCTGTGATGACCATGGTGACACAGCCCAGCACTGTCAGAGCAATCATGATGTAGCAAACCTTAATCCTGACGATGTTCCTTGCAGCRTCAAGGACCTCAGACCTGGGGAGGACAGAGCAGAGTTTTCATTCTGCAGCAGCATTTGGATCATGGGGAGWTGGGTGATGGATCCCCAAGTCTTACAGACACCACCTGTCCATGTGCAATGGGGTTCAGCCTTTTTTTTTCTGCAGCTGCTTAGAGGAGGATTGAAAAAAATAGGGGTAAATATTTAAGTGGGGTATTGGTAYTCCCAAAAGCCATCAGTAATAACAGGATTAAAAAATCCTGTTCTCCTGTATTCTTTCATTGCATGTGAGAGTGAACACCTGTGAAATGACAGGGACAGGAAAGTCTTTCCATGGTGACAGTGAAGGCCCCACCTTTGGGTGCTGCAGGGCAGGCCATGGGGTGCTGTGCAGCACCAGGAGACTTTGGGGCCGTGCCACCAGGAACAGGGAACCTTACCGTTAGGGAATTAAAAAAACCCACCACAGCACAGCCTCTGCCAGGCTCTACCAGCCCCACGAGCATCTGCCTGCAGTGGCAGCTGAGTTGGCTCGGAGCAGACGACTGCACCATCCAGGAGTTTTCTTCCCAAGCAGCTGAACAGCCCCAGCCATTGCTGGAAAATATTCCATGAGCAACTTCTGGCACACAACCAACAATTCTCGTTTGCAAGAAACTGCAGCATGGCACTGAGCCATCCATGAAATCATATCCAGCCGTGGATKTGCTCACACCTGCAAGGGGAAGGATGGCTGGAGCAGCCCCCACCATGTCACAAGTCAGAAGCATTAGGACTCCAAACTGAGTGACAATCTTTTAACAAAATATCTCAGCAAGGAGGTGAAACCACAGCCCAGGCATGGGGAACTCATTGCACATRTCTGTCACTAAAGCTGTTTGTAGCCCAAACTTCTTATTAAAATTTACACAACATTATTAATCATTAATCAATAAAACCTAGCAAAGCATGCAAAAACCCAGAGTGGATGGTGTCTTACCCTGGTGACTTCTGAGTTACCAAGCCACTTGTCTTCAGCTTAGTCTGAAATTTATAACTTAAACAAGTGAATCCAGGGAATGACAAAAAGTTACAAGACTTAGAACAATTTACTATTATTTTGGAAACCAGCATAGTGCATACTGGGATCTCAATCTGTGTGTTTATATCCAAAAGAATCATTCTGACAGCTCCACTTACGATATGTGCCTGGGGATGTCCTCTTCCTTTTTAAAGCGTCCTGACCATACTAACACCTTTTTATCAAAATTTGTAGGCCTTCTGTCATTTCTGTAAGCTTTACCTGTAAGAGATATTGTAAAAAGCAACAAGTTAAGCTTCAAGAAGGGAAAAAGCACTGTTGTTACAGGGGGAAAGGGATTGAAAGTTCAAAATTACRCCTTTCTGTTCTCTAAGAGCTAAATGTGCTTTCTAATGTCAGACTCAGCAGCTGAAGCTGGTGTGAAGCACTTTGTTGCTTATTTGACTGGTTTTTTTCTTTAATTTTGGTAGGTTTAAAACTAAAAATATCTTCTAAACTTCCTGATTAAGGGGGGAAATTATGTGGGACTGAATTCCTCAAGCCCACAGCATCCTCTCACCCTGCCAGCATCTTGTTTTTAAATGGCTCAATGAGTTCAGCAAGCTGCTAGCAGCACAAGTCGCTGACTCCTCAACAGCTTCTCCTGAAATCACTGATGGGGAGATGAGGTCTGCTAAAATGCAGCCTGGTGGGAGGCTGGCAGTYGTTCTCATGCAAGCTGGGTACCACATTACTGCACTCTAATGATGATACATTACACCCCATCAGGCTACCACGGCGATGCCATTTGCATGCTGTCACCCTCAGCACACYGAGAAAAGGACTCTGGCTCCTCTTGATGGAAACAAGAACAGGCAACAAGGACAGTGGTAGGGAGACCCTGCACAGCTCGTATCAGGGTGTGCAGGAGGGGATGGATGTGAAGCTGTCCCCATTCTCAGTGTCCTGCACTCTCTTCCTGCTGCTGGATTGCTGGTACTCAGCTAAAGGRAATCATCACTGCTGCCACACAAAAGGGCAAGGGGAACATCTCTTCCTTCCTAAGCTGAGATGGTGAAATTACGTCAAGTGCCTTGGCCCCAGACCTGCTCATGCATGCCAGGCCTTTGGAATGGCTGAAAAATCCCAATTGTAAATCTTGGCYCAGGTAAATTTAATCTCCTGCTTTTCCTGTTTTTCTTATAGAGTGCAGTGAGACCAGGACAGCAACATCAGCAAGTGGCAGAATCAAATCTGCAGCAAGCAGTTCAGTGGATTGCTAAAAGGACAGGCTCCCAAGGAAGACAAGGGCAAAGCCCYGTGCTGGAGAGCCCCAGCCATCCCACAGGAGCACAGACAGCCCAGCCTTGCTAGGGCGAGGGTCTCARGGCACAGCCAAGGAAGGGGTGGTGCAGATTGAGAAGAGAAGCTGTGTCCATAGCAGGACCCTTGACCAGGTGGGAGCTGCCCACGCCACCTAACCTGGGCACTGCCTGGCACAGGCAAACACTTGTGGGTGGACCCTCCAGGGGATGCAGAGGGGAGTAAATCCTGCACTTGCAGCAGCCCTGCACATGCAGGAACATGTACTGATCCTGCTCTGGACACCTGGCAGCTTGTAAGAGGAGGAACATTTATTTATCTGTTTTAATTGAAAAGCTCCCTGACATGAAGGAGGACGACTATATAACACACAAAAAGCTTCACCCCTTTGCACTGTGCAGGTCAGAGCTCTGGGGGTGCCCCTGTCCCAGGAGCATTTGTGACCCCGGCAGATGCAGCCCTTCAGTAACAGCCACAGATGAGGGTTATTTTCCCATCCCTTCCTGCAAATACCCTTTCCCTCCACGCTGTAGCACAAACAGTGMCCAAAGGCTTTCCACCCACCTGGATCAGCCGTCTGCAGAGCCGTGTCCTGGSTGTCCTTTGCCCTGCTGCCAGCAGCTCTGGCGGGGCACAGGACCGGCCGAGCCAGCACTCGCTGCCACAGCCCAGGGCTGAGCCTCAGCAGCCTCCCCAGCATCCTGCCCTGGACCACCACTGCCCCACCAGGAGCCCAGGAGCTGCTTTTAGGAGTTAGGAAAGTAAAAACACCCCTTCCTGTGAGAAGGGAGCAGCATGCACTTCTACCCTGACTGACAAGTTTTGCTTACGTCAGGATGACAATTTAGATTTATCACCTGTGGTTAGCCAAAGGACACACCTTGGGAGCTGGGCAGGCAGGAGTCACTGCTGTGACAGCTCACATCCAGCCCAACTCTGCCCCAGGCTCCCCATCCCAAGGAGTTGTTCAGGAGAACCATGGTTATTCACATTATTTTCTCAGTCCTTACTATGGAGGAGCTAAAATAGGACAGTGTGCTGCATTTCCCCAAAGATAGGCTTAGTGAGCGCTAATTATCACAGCTGGTTAAGCTGTTAGAGTTCTTAATTGTTCTCAGCTACAAAATAATCTTGCAAATCAGTTGCTTTAAACAGATCTTCTGAAAAGGAGCAGTGTTTACCCCATCTCAGAATAAATGTGTTTTGGCGGCAGGAAACTGAAGCCGGTGTCTGTATCTATAAATGCAGGACAGGGAGTCCATCTCACATCCAGGCTGCAAACTTTCCTAGCAAAGAAATACACTTCAGATAAGTTTCAAGTKTAAAACAGTAAACCTAGAAATCATAACAAAAACCTCAGCTGATATAGTATTTRTCACTCAGTAAAATTGTTTTTGAAATGTAGCAGAACCTATAAAGTATTTGCCTTAATAGTGCTGAATGTTTTCCATAACACCAGCTGTTCTAACCAGAGAATGAACCACAACCAATGTTGTTTTATCACTTTGACATTTCTCCTGCATTTTACACAAAATTCTCCCTGATGGTTCAGGAAATAGAAATGCAAAATACTTGTCTCATTTGGAGCTGTGGGGTATTTACTCTCCTTAGACATACAAGGCCCTAAAGCTGATTTACAGGTAGTGAAAATATTCCATTCAAAAGGGAAGAAGTAGTTGCCAAAAGGAAAATTTTCAGAACTATTTAGTTACACTATGAAATGCAATATTGCAGATAATCAAAGTGTGTCTAAGAGCAAGGGGAGGGACTGCAAGGGAAGAGAGCTTGGGGTGCTGGCAGGGATATTCTAAAGGGGCTGAAAGGATGAAAGATGTGCAACAGATGCAGCTCTGGACCCTCAACTCCTGCCCCAAGAAAGAACCCTACCGTTTATAAAGGCATTTTGTACTTTTTGAGAACATGGAGTTAATGATACTGAGGAAAGAAGAAAATCACAGCAGTGACAAATGTGGTTTTTCCCCTTTCGTGAAAGCACCACGATGTATCCGGACATGGCACAATGTGTTCAGCTTAATTTGCTTCTAATTTAGTAAAGCAAATGAGATCCATTTCCAGATTAGGAACCCATACAGAAAATAAATAGTGGTTTGAGCTTCCAGCTGCAAACAAGACCTGCAAACAAGCAGAAATCAGTAGATGTGATTATGTTGGAAGAAGCAGAAGGAAAAGCTGGAAAAGTCACAGATGATATTTGTGTCCTGCTCAGGATTTCCCTGTGGGAAAATGGGCTTGAGGAAAGATGAATTTATAGACTGAAGTTGATGGTCAGCACCTGTGGGCATCCCCAAAGCCCCCTTMTCACCTTGTAGAGGAGCTGTTGCATGGAAAAAGGGCATTGTACAGCTGGACATCACTCAGTCCCCAAGCCAGGGGGACAGGAGGGGCTGTGGACAGCAGATRGGATGTGCTCCCTCGGTGCTGATGTCACCCTTGGACCTGCCTGACCCCACAGGGGCTCCAGCTCTGCAGCCCATTAGAGTATCTTCACTTCAACAGGCACTCTCCAAAATACTTGTTGCAGAAGTGACTGTCTTTACGTCACGTCCTATTATGGATTAGAAGAGGGGGAAAAGAACATTTTTATTTTATGCCGTAGCTTCTCAAAAGCAGAGAAAATCGTGGGATTTTCAGGCCTCTGGTGCTTATCCACCTAGGGGTTGGCAATTGTTTCCTCTAGCAGACACACCAGCTAACAGCTGTATTAATCATGTCTGCTGCGAGCAAAAAGGCACTTCAGGATTTATTAYGCCAGCATTTGGAAGTGAAAAGACGCAGAGGTGCTCACGAAACCACAGAGGCAGTTACTTGTTCCTGGATTTTATTTGTTTTTCTGGCACCGTGAATGCCTAATGACRGGCTGAGTTGTACTGCAGTGCTTGGAAGCCACAGACAGCTCTGTGGTAGGAATTCYAGCTTTCCTTTGTGCACTCTGGATCTGTTGGCTCAGAGCAACTTGAATCCTTTCCTGAGCAGCACCACGATGCAGAATGCTCTTGGACAAGGCAGCTTTGTGTGCAGCCTGGTGACCTTAGCTCTCCTTAGAGATGCTTTGTGCCCAGCCCAGTGCTCGCACACCCCTCCCTGTCCAGGTTACAGCAGATCCATGAGGCTCATCCGRTCACTCCCCACCCCAGGCCATCACTGCATACCCAGCAGTGACTCAGTACCAGAGTGCAGCCAGCATTTCAGACCCATGGAGCTCTTGGGCAGCAGGTTTATAGAACAGGAGTAACAACTTGTTCAGTGATGCAGAATTAGCAAAACTGGGTCTAAAGCACCATCTCTCCTCTGCCTTCCACATCGTTCTGCCAGGGGGAGAGCAGGATCCCAGCTCCTGACAAGCCCTGGACAGTACAAAAAACACTGACTAGCTCTACAGACATCCCCCAGGCTTCCTCTGACCCTCACTGCACAGGAAGGGCACAGATCTGAAGGGCCAGGCCAGCTCAGACAGAGCAGAGGATGGTCTGCAGCTGTGGTGGTGCAGTCTCATGATATTTCTGCTTCTGTGTGAGAGGGAAATGTAGCTGCAACACTTGTTGCACACTGATGCCAACAGTGATGATTTAAGCTAAACAGAAAACCTCACAGGACTCCATCCTGGTTCTGCACCCTCTTCAAACCCCTTCTGCCAGCTCAAACTCTGCTTTTTCAGCTGCCTCCACAGCAAGGACTCATAGCCAGTCCCTAAACATACTCAAAAACCTTTTCAGAACTAGGAGGTCACAATATAAATTCAATTGTTTGTAAAACTTCATTGCTCTGGCTTCTGGCTGACATCCTACCGTTATTCCCAGTGCCTTAATTCTGATTATTGTCAGAATTATTGCAGCAATGAGAAACTTGGACTCAGGTTCTYTTCAATTGTCCTTCTGCTGCTTTCAACTGCCTTAGGAATGAAAATGTTTATTCCTCCAGGAGCCCCAGGTTCCCACACATCTCTTTACACCTCCTTGTTCATTTTCATAATAATGCATAACTAATCTTTTTTCTCASACACAGAAAATAATTCATAGGAGTATTGAAACAAGAAACTTATTACTCCTCACAGCTGTTTTCAGTGTCCTCAAAAACAAATGGCACACCATCAGGCTCTGGTTTGCATGCCATGAAAACTTCTTACGTGAGGGCTGTGATGGGGAACAGAAGATAATCTTATCTTAAAATTCTTTGCCTTTCCCCATCTAATTAAATATGCAGCAGAGCTCTGTCTTGGTTCCTAGACAAGATAAACAGCAATCCTGGATGGGCTCGTGGCTCATGAAATTCTAAGTGAGTCAGGAAATATCTTTCCACRCAACTGGATATTCTCCAGCAGCACAATTTAACACAGCCAGAGCAAGGAATTGCTTTGAAATGYCTCACTCACCTGCAGACTCCCAGCCCAAGAGCTGGGACRGGGCTGGGGTGCCCTGGGTACAAAGTGCAGGGTTTGTAGCTCGTGTCACAAGGGCAAAGCTCAYGGCAGCAAAACAAGAGTTAGTCATTGCTCTGGCAAAGCCCCAGTTTGACCTTTCCCAGGGTTTGGGATGGTCATGCAGAGGGGATGAGGTGGCTGTCAGCTCCAGCACAGGGAGACTCAGCATTGGCAGCACCTGCCGGTGCATGGCTGAAACCTGGGGCAGCCCCAAGGGCAGCTTCATCATGGTGGAGTAGCCCAAKGTGAGCAGCAAAGACAGCAGAACCCATGGAAAATCAACCAAAATGTTTGGGGCCTTGTGATGCAATCACAGCTTTTATTACCAGGGAAATTAATGCACTAATGAGCTTTGCACCAGGTCACYGATTTCTGGAATGGCACACTATTGGACTGCAGAGCAAAGATGTAGGAAAACCCCAAAGAAAACAAAACCATCAGAATCTTAACAGTTTTCATTTTGACTCAGAGTTTGGAGAACCATTTAATTTAAACGTTTTCCACACCTGTTTTCCCAGCTGAGCATGAGAAACACACTGACAAGGACAGACTCGCTGTTCCCTTGTCACTTAATGATTTTCTTTCCTGAGAAGAATGGCATTGTCTTCAAAAACAGACACATTTAGGAAATTTTCAGTCCATTAGTMAATTAGGGGAAAAAACCTCAACCTAATTTAAAAGGTTTGAACCATTCTTTGTGGAAATGTCTTTTCCCCAAAYTTGTTTTAATACTGGGATGACTAATTTTTTTCATCTCCTGCAGAAAAGTCATGTACCATCATTCAGGCCCATAAACTGGCTGATACCACTGGGACCCCCTCCATTGTGGGGTAAATTTCCGTTCCGTTCCAGACTGGCTGAATATGAGTGTAATCAATACAGGAGCAAATGGATCTCAGGTGACACAGTGGGAGGCTCTACCCTGGGCATGATTGGCACACCACAGCAACCACAACAGAGCCAGGTGCCTCCTCAAAGAGATGAACTGTTTCTTGGCAATCCTCCTAAACGGACCATTAAATGCTCCTTGGTGAAGCACAGCCCACACGGAGGATGAGATTTGCTTCCAGCAACTTTCATGAGTCCAAAGGGACYGCAGGGAAAAATATCTCCTAAGAGATGCTTGGTCCCCCAGGTGGGCATGGAGAGGGCAGGAGAGCGAAAATCTGCCRCACTTGTCTCTGCATGGTGGCCCAGGGGTTCTGGTGAAGGTTGCCTTGTTAAAGGACAGGCTGTGTGTGCCTGGACACTGAGGGTTCTTCCCTGGTGCTGGTGACTCCTCTGCTCCTTGCTCGTGCTGTGTCTGGCACAAGGGAGCCCCAGGCAGCTCCTGCTGCTCTGATGTGGTTTGGCAGAACCTTTTTCTTGGCTAACAAGTTAGAAATGGAGAGGCATCACGGTGAATGTTTCTCTGAGCCACTCAGTGCCAGAGAAGGGCAGCCAGGCTGAATCACAGCACTGGTGCCYGGACAAAGGGAATGAGCTGCTCCTGCTGGACGCCAAGGGCTGAACMTTTTCTGATGCTGCTCCTTGTCCCTTCCAGCACTGGGGCAGGAGCTGTCTCCACTCTCCCATTAGCTGATGAAGCACAGGCATTAAAGCCACCAGCCAGGCCACAAAGCCCTCTAGGCTCCTGCAGCACTGGTTTAACTTCGGGTCACAACTGCACAGTCATTACTGTTTACAAAACAAGTTTCCAGGGAAGCAAAATTACACACTGAGGAAATAATAAGCAGCAACGTAATCAGATGTGAGAAGGAGATCATTTCATTACCTGAACCAGGCCTCATTATTCACCATCTCCCTGGCAAGAGCTGATAAATGCAGGCTAATGAATCTTCGCACTCGGACGAGCGGTTGGAGCTGCYGGCTCGGCGCTGCCGCATGCGGGGCAGGAGCAGGGGATCCAACTGTCAGCTGAAAGCCCGGGAGGTAAAATATGAACTCATCCATTGCAGCACTGCAGTGAGAAGAGGGAGAGGCTTTAACCACGCCTGGCTTGGTCTTACAGAGYCACCTTGGCTCTGGGAATGCTGTGGCTCCTGTCTGGCTCAGAGGAGCAAGCTCTAAACATCCCAAGAATAATAGAGGGGCTGTGTGCACTGGTGATGTGTGCCAAGAGCARAGTCAGCTCTTTGGGAAAGGCCTTTCAGGACCAATAGTATCAGTCCTGACAGTTCCTTCCCCATCCCAGCTGTTAAATATCATCCTCAGCCTGGGCATGACACAAGACATCAACAGAGGTAACAGCATCAACACACAAAAAGCAGGAYTTTTGCCAGCTTCTGTGGCACTGTCATTTCATCAGTTCAGTTCCCCATTGCCTACTGTAGCTATTCCTCCTTCTAAAAACCAGGAAAACTGAAAATCCACCATTCACTGTGGATAATTATTAAAAAAAAAAACCACCCTGTCCCCCCCAAAAACAAATCCCAAAACACAAACAAACAAAAAACAATGCTAAAGAAAATATCAGATAAGGGGAGTAAACCTCCTTAACAAAAACGAGTTGTCAGAGTTGTGAAGACAATCTCTGCTTTTCCTATACATTCTGCATGTGTCACCAGCAACATGCATCCCAAATTTTATATTAAGAACCAGAACATTTGGCAAGGCTCCTCTGCAAGGAGCTTAGACACTAACAGCCAACRTAAGACGAAAACCTATTCAGAGAGGAACACCCATGTCCTGACATTACAGGGAAATACTGCCCTCATCTGTCTTCCAGTGACAGGTTTTATTTTCCTGCCTACTATGCCTAAGCCATTCATCCTTTCCAGGATGAAAAGGTGACTCTGTTGTTGCAATCAGCTTCCAAGTCTGTGCCTGGACTCGAAACATTAAGCAATGCTGCTGTTGGTAACCAGAGTCAATGTGACCATATTGCTGCAACAGTTTAAATGTAGAAATTTCTCAATTCTCTACACTGAAGACAGTGTCTAGGCCCAAAAGAAGGCAACCGTTTGTATATTCTTTATAAAACTAAAACCAACCAAAAAAAAATTTCCTAATGCTAGGAGGAGTATTGAGAGGCAGCATTGGGATTCAGCAAGAGGAGGGGAAACCCTGCTCCTGCTGCAATTTGCACAATGATGCATCCAGGCAGGGATYTGGGGGTCTCTGCAGTCCAGACTGTTCCAGACAGCACCGAGAACAAGGCTGGTTTGCCTATTTCATCCAAGGTAAAAATCCATTACTCACGCATAGAGAAGGCAGATTTTAAGCATCATCAGTGGCATTCGGGAAGGTGCAATGAAGGAGAAAATGAACAACATTCATRTTTTATAAAAGTATAAGCTTTGAAGTTGGAAAAAAAACATCTAGTGGACAAAGTACAGCACTTGGCAGTTCTGTAAGTGTTTGGGGTGCTGCCTCCCAACTATTTCAGGGCTCTCACTCATTATTACTTGACTAAAACTTCCCTCTCCTTCCCAGTCTGTCCCTGCCCTGGTGTGAACTGCTGGCAGTTGCTGTGGATGGAGCAGCACAGCTCTGCAGTTCAGCTCCCTCCTGCTCCCAGCCTCTCCAGGCTACTGACAGCACTCTTGTCTGGCTAAACCATGATCCTAGAGCACCTGAAGTGTGGGAGAAGGATCCTCTTCACCAGTTTCTGGTACAGGCTCCAATGCCACAGTCTTTTTTATAAATTCCCACATTCTGTACYTTCTGAGCCCACTCCAAAACAGGACTATTGCACTTTATAAGAAAAGATTTCCTGGAGATTGAATCTCTCCAGTTCAAGCTCTCAAAGGCTTAGGATCATAGAACCATTTGTGGTCACCAACTCCACACACAACATGAGAAGTCTCCAAGTCCAAACCCATTAAAAACAGAAAATCACATTTTATTTGCCAGTTCCAAAATCATTAAAAACAGGAAAAAAAAATCACATTTTGTTTGCCATAAAGTGTTGATTTGTCACAAAAAAAGTACCAGTATAAAACGTACACCAAGGTACACAGCTTGGGCAACAAAACCACTGTCCACACTCCTTCATGTCCAGAAAAAGTGACAAAGCCCTGAGAGGAAGTGACAGCTGGATACCCTGCTGCATTGTTCCCAAGGAACCATTATCACAGTGAGAGGGGCGTACCTCAGCATATCAAATGTAGTCATTCCATCCAGAGTCTTTTTTTTTTCTCCTTAATCAGGAATTCATTTGTTTTACAAGTCAGGTTCTCTTCACTCAACCCCCTCCTGCCTATGTAGATGCTCAAGTCTGTGTTCCCAACTGCATTACAAACTTCATAACTTCTCATTAATCTCGTGATTTCACCAAATTTTGCAACACCACTACAAAGTAGTTGTAACCTTCACTTTAAGTAAAGTTCTGCTTCTTTTGGCCCTACCATAACACTGTTTGAATCTTTAGAAAAGCACTTCGGGTCTCCTTTGGAAGGGAAACCCAAGTCTGAGTGAAAGAAGCAGAAAACAACCTGACAGGTAAAGCATTGATGAGGAATAGAAAGCAGCCTGCTTGTCACTATATTTAAGCCTTATTTCCTGTGATGGCAATTTTTTGCCACTCAATATTTACATTTGTTTAGACAATACACACACAAAGACACACACACACAGAGCGTACCCAACATCAAACCCTGAGCAGCCTCACAAGGCTTAGACAGAGAGGAATTACTCCTGTTCCCTGAGCTGCAGTGCCAGGCAGCAGCACACCCCTTGCCCTCTGCTGGCTGCACTCACTGGGGAGGCAGAGCACAGCCCAGGGCAGGAGCTGCACATCAGGGCACACACACACACACAGAGCACCTTTGGGTTCCAGCTGGGGAGCACCAGAACRTGTCCTCACTCTCCTCCACAGCCGTACCTGCAGTCCAGCTGGATACCAGTTGGATGGGGTYCAGCACGCCCAGCCCTGGGGAGCCTGCAATGTATTATCCTGCCCTCTCAACCTGGATAGCTGGTGAGATCTCAGTGCCWAACTGGCATGTTCCTCCCCAAACACTAAAGCACTAAAAATAAATAATATGGCTCGCTTTCATTTTGGGGCTGGATTTTGAAGGGCAGGGAGTGGGGGTTGATTTGCTTTCTTTTTTGTCTTTTTTTTTTCCTTGTCCCTTTCCAATATTAAAAGACAAAACCCGCATATATGCTTAAAAAAAAGTCGTCCAAAGAGCCGTCTCATTGTTGCTTGTACACGATGTAAGACACAGTAGGAATCTCATGCTCCTTTTCCTTCTTGGGATCCACAATGTGGCTGTAGCGCTCTCCCCGGTGGCATGCCAGGTAGGGGCCCCAGTTGGCTGCGGGCCGGCAGCAGCTGACAATGCGCTGCAAAGCAAAACCAACAGGCATTTAATGTCTTGCTTTAGTCCAGGCTGCTCTTAAAATTCAGTAAAACTACAGCTCTAGATATGCACTCCAACTGGACAAATGGCAAATCATCAAAGTTGTTTAAAATAATTTCAAGTATCTTCAGGGTCGGTGGGTTCTGGGACACTGAAGGCAAAGAACAGGGAAAGCTGTGACCAACAGGACTGCTTGGCAAGAGAGGAAGATCTCAGATCTGGCACCTGCTTGTTTCTGTGAGGAATGGGAGGCAAAACTCCAGAAAATTACATGAGAATTGAAAGCAATAGAAATTATTCAGAGAATTTAAAGGAGATGGAATAGCAAAAGAACTGATGAAAAGTCTTGAATGTGTGTGTGCATTCCCACTGAATTAGACTTTATCTTCTTATCACAACACAGTAGGGTAGATGCACCTTTGATGCAATTACCAGAGATATGTTTTGGTCTAAAAATCCAATTGACAAACACACCAAGGTAGCAAATGTGTTGCAGAGGAAAGCACAGGTGGTCCTGAAAATACCAAAGAATTCAAGATTTGAGGGTGTGATAGTGGGTTTTTTGCCCTTACCTGAACAAGGTTCCCTTCAGCTTTAAGTATTTTTACAATGGCAACAATGGGAATCCAGATGACRCAGAAGATGATCATGCACCAGCCAACAGCTGTTCCCCAGGTTGGGTATAACACTGAACCATAAGTGGGGCGTGAAAAYGTGACCAAAGACCAGACCAAAATAGCCTAGAAAAACAGCAAAATGAATGAGGAAGAAAAGCAGGTTTCCAGCAACATTGAATTGGCACGGCTTCCAAGTTAGTTTAATAAAAAGAAGGGCTGTCTACAAGTTCTGCACAGTTCCACCTTGCTTTCTGAGTGTGACAATGGTTGTGCAGGATTTGGTGTTCAGTCACCACGATTGAAGGGCAGGACTGAAAGGTGACACTGAGTTCACCCTCACACTGAGTGTATCTGTGTTTAAACATAACTTGATCTCTGGGTTCTCTTGAAATCTTCTGTTGGATAATATATGTGCTGTTGGCTGAGCACAGTACCTTTCTCTAGATGTTCTGTGTGTTCCTGTGTTCCATTATTTAGATGAATACAGGAAAGAATCTAAGATTAAAAACTGGCAAAAGTTGCTGCAGAAATTGGATAATTTTGAGCAGCATTTTCTAAACTATGGTCTGGACAGATTACAGGTAATGTGCTGGCCAGAGTAACTTTGCCACTGTCCCTGGATTGGAAATGTTAATAAATTCTGTCATAGTAACATAATCCAACCATCTACACTCACAATTAGAAGTACAGGAGTAACAAAAACCAGACATGCAGCAGGACATTAAAAGGTCTCAGTTAGACAYGAGAACAGCAGAACATCTGACCCCAAAATGGGATTTCCCTCAAAAGGTTTTCAAACTGTTCTCTGTCTAAAATTAGGATAATCGAAGCTGCTAAGGCAGAGGATCTCATTGCTCTGTATCAGTCTTCAGAAGCCCAGAATCTTCACATGGAAACCTCTCCAACATTAAATTATTAAATTCTGTCACACTAACACAATCCAGTCACATGCACTCACCATTAACAAAACAGGAGTGAGGAAAAACCAACACACTCTCCACCACAGCCAGAACAAACGGCTCTTCTTTCCAATCATCATTTCAATGTCTTCAATGAACCTGTTTCCTCCTGTTGGAAGACAAACATAGRGCTCATTGCAAAGCAGGTGCCTCCCTTGCAGGTGAGGTTACTCAAAAATGATCAGAGAAAGACAGCAATCAAGGACAGTTTCTCCAGTTCTGTGCTGTTAAAACTTTTCAGATGGTTAAGTTACAAATTCTTTATTGCAATAATTAGATTTAATAACMCTGGCACTGCTCAAGGCCAAGGCTGGACAGGGCTTGGAACAACCTGGTCTAGTGGAATGTGTCCCTGCCCATGGCAGAGGGTTGGAACAGGATGATCTTTCAAGTCTCTTCCACCTCAAAACATGCTGTGATTCTATAACAGACACTGTGCCTTGGATTGCTTCATTTAATTTGGTATTTTCAATGCAAATGAYTTACCGTAGATGTAGACAATGCCTACTATCTCCAGGACAGCTGCAATAAGGATTCCCCATCCAGCACAGAAGTGATCTATTAGGTTAACCCAGTAAATTCCTGCCTGCAGAACAAATATTAAGGTTAAAATCTGAGTAGTAACATACTTCTGCAAATAAAATAAGATGTGATTGCTCAAGAGAGTTTAACTAATCACCACTCTGAATTTTTTAAGTTCACATTTCTCCAGGTCACATATATATTTGTGAATATTATTTTCTTTAAATCTCTCTATGTAAAGTTGAAAAGCACATCTAACAAAATACTACAGATGCTAAAAACAGGTTCTATGTATATGCAGAGCATATATAAACAGTTGAGAGATGTTTTAAATTTGGAGCTTACAGGAATAAAGCTGGGGCTGAAGCTTTTATACTGAGCTACAGCAATAGCTGCACCAGTTACCAGCTCTGGGATGCTTTTATCCTCCTGCATGTACAACTTCTGCATGGGGTTAAGCACAGCTTTAAACACCAGTGTGCAGTAGCAGGATCACAGAGCAGGGAACAATCTCTGAGCCATTTCACATTCTCGTGTACCGAATCCTTTGCAAGCTGCCCTGCCACCAGCTTTCACTGACATACGTGCTTTGCTTGACCATACAACTGACTGTTCACCACAATTACCTCCTTCACATTCTCAAAGTACACACATAAATCTGCATTTCTGGATGGAGTAATTGCAATGAAACTTTATAGCCTTAAAAGCCATTGCCTCAAGAAATTTTACCCAGTATATTTAAAATTCCTTCTCTGTATTGTCTATTTATATATATACACACACACACAGRAGAAGTAACCATGCAACCTACAGATGCTCATGAGCTAATGGGTTTTTATTACATGAATAGGCCATTTTTCAATTCCTGTCCTGTTTGGCAGTGAGTTCTGAACTAAAAGATCCCATCAGCATTTATTAGCAGTACCCACTGTGCTGCGGACATGCTGTATGCATGTACTTCTGATTACACAAATAAACTCCTGAACTGAGGAACAATAAATCAGGCTGATGGGTCACAGGCTCTGTACAGGCCTTCTATTCAAAAGCATGCCTCAGTTCAATAGTCACAGAAAACCTTGGGTTCTTCAAGCTTCCCTCTGGGAATTTATTATTTGCATGTCCAGGCACACTGTCAAAATTCACGAGTCTCTAAGATTGATCCACACAGACAGGAACAGTTGGAAAGGGTATTCTGATTTGAGTTCATCGCTTGCAGCACAACTGAACTCACTACCAAACAAAATTTAAATTTCTTACCTGAGTTACACAGATAAGCCCAAGAAAAAAGAGCAGCATGCACAGACCCAGGGTTATAGGCGTTCTTAATCTTTTCATCACTTTGGGATAGATATCTTGAATGGTGGTGGTGAGTGTTTCTGCAAAGGAAGAAGTAGGGGGTTTGAGCAGCACAGTTAAGAAGGGCAATGGTCATTTGAAAAGCCATGAGTCACTCAAAACCCCACTCACCTATGGAGGCAAACTGGGAGTCAAGGCCCAAGAGCAGSAGCATGAAGAAAAACAAGAAGGACCACAAAGGAGAAACCGGTAACTTGGAGAGAGCCTCTGGGTAGGCTACAAAGGCCAGATCAAACCCTGGGAAGCAGTGGAAAGAAGGATGTTACTGTCATGCCTCAGGCAATGCRAGTCCCAATGCCAACAGTGTGACCATCAGCCTACCTGAGTCYACCACCTCTGAGACCGGCCTGTCGGACACAAAGGCCATGTGTCCCAGGATGGAGAATATGGCAAACCCGGCAAATATGCTGGTGACGCAGTTGGTCACACAAACCATAATGGCATCTGAGTAGCAGTTGTTGTGGAACTTGTTGTACGAAGACAGAGCGACAAGCCCGCCCCATGCCACAGACAGGGAGTAAAATATCTGGGTGGCTGCATCTTTCCATACCTACCAAAAATAAGAACATGAGAATTACTGTACTAATWATAGTACTTATCATAAACTTCTAAGACTGCCCTCTGTTGAAGCTGAAGGGTATTTCTTTTTTCATTTAACCTGAATATCTCATTTTATTTCACATTAATTTTGTGGGATACAGCACGTTGGTGACCTTGCAGTCTCAAGCACAAGCAGTATCTCTATGATCTCCAAAGGTCACATCCCAAGTATGTTGCTGAATAACTAAATCTTATTGGGCTAACCCTGAAGAAGAGATTCAATTTGTTCACATAGGTGGGTTGTTGAGATATGAATCTTGTCACAGAGCCAAACAAATAAGGAAAACCAGGACTGGCTGCAGGAGTGAGAACTTCCATGTAGTCTCCCACTTGTGTAACCCAGATAAACCACTTCTGCCTCTGCTGCAGCCCCTMACTTAGTGCCAAGCACTCACATAAGTACCGCAATTAAATACCACACTTAACACTTGCTTCTGATAAAACTGAGATAATACTGGCATAAGCCAGAACAAAAAAAGTCCCAACTTTCTTTGTACAAGGTGCCCTTCCTGGTCCACCTAATTACCCAAGCTAGTTTCCTGGAAAAGGCACAGACTGAATTTCAAACTTAGGGATCCCTTTAGCCTTCTGATAAAGCCCCTTTAAATAATCAGCAAGAACTTTCTCAGCAGATCTTGCCAATATGGAACTCCAGCATGACCCCCAAGAACTCTTTCGAGGCAATAGAACTGTTGTCATCAGTGGTGTGGCAGGGAGCRGGGAGAAGGTGACTCTCTTTCAGTTTGAGGGTAGTTGGAATAGGGGCTTGGACTTCTTGCACAACCAGCTGCTGATACAACGCACAGGGCAGGACATGAAGCACCTGACAAGATACAAAAGCAGCAGCCCCACAGAACCATGGACGTGTGTCACACTACKGGGGCTGAGGCTCTGCCTCTCACCTCTGCCTCCATCAGCTTGGTGATGTTGGACTGCCTCCCAATGTAGTACTCAATGCCATCCAGGGCACCTTCCAGGGTGGCACCTCGCACCAGCAAGATGAGCAGGATGACATAGGGGAAGAGCGCCGTGAAGTAGACAACCTGCAGAAAGAGGGGCAGGGACACACATCAGGGCTGAGGGGATCCACAGATCTCCATGCAGGGAGGCTGGACAGGCTTTGGGCCAAGGTCTGGGGGTACAATCAAAAAACAGCCAGGGAAGTGAGCACATGCCAAGCACCAAACCACCCAGCTCAGCCGGTTCTGCTGCTGCATTCCAACAGAAATTGAAGGCCCAAGCCACACATCCACATTTCAGATAGCACCTGACCAGTTTCTGAAATGCCTGTTTCTGATGTGATTTACTGCTGTAGCAAGGACTGAACTCAACTCCCTACATGTCTCTCGCTAGGTAGTGCTTCTAGCAAGTGCAAACTGAAAGCCAGTAAAAATTAGGTGACTAGGGTGGAATTATCTCCTGATGAGACTGTGAGCTCCCTGCTACTCCCCCTACAAAAAAAAAGCCAAAACAAAACCAAAACCAAACAAACAAAAAGTCACTGTTCCAGAAGCTTTTTTTACCAGGAACAAGGACTTTTAGGTATCTCAGACACAGAACTATTCTGTTGTTTTTTGATCTAACACGATGGGACCAAGGCCAGCAGTGTCACACAGGCTACAATCAACAATACTCTGATTTCTTGAGTCTTAGTTTCAGTGTTATGCAGACAGATAATTGACCCTGTACTGCTGGCTCCACCAAGCCAGGACATTGCACCATCATGTGGTGAGTCTGACATTTCTGAAGACCTCCTTCATGCCTGCCTAGAAAAGACAATTCTCTTTGCTTTTCATGCTTGCCTTGTTCCTGCCCWGCTAGATTCTTCCAAGACACCTTACTCTCCAAAGAGGATTGCCTGTGTACCAAAGGTGACAACAGGAAAAGCCAACTGCCAGGAGCCCAAAGAATGTGAGATTAAGAGGAGCCATGCAGCCAAACAACTGAGGCTGGGAAAGCAGAGATACTCCCCCCAAAGCACTGAGACAGAGGGCAGAAAGCTCCAGGTAGAAAGCAAAACAGGAGGAGACATCAGACTAAGCAAAGGAAGACAGGTAGCAAGGAACCATGGAAAGGCACAATAATAGAAGGAAAGGGGGGGAAATATATCAGTGCAGAAAAGGTGAAAGAATGAAGGCAACTGAGACTGAAGAAGTAAATGAAGTAGATGGAACATGAAGATGAGAAAAGAGTAGGAGGAATAAGGAACTAAACCCAGAAAAGGGTCTCAGGCCAGGAAGGAAGAAATTCRGCCTGCCTGAAGTCAGGCTAGCCCTAGAAAAACTCCAGGCAACCATGCTTCAGCAAGTGGAAATGGGAGCTCAGCAGAGCCAGATTCTTAAAATAAGCATCTAAGTACTGGGTCCCTAAAAATCGCTTCACCTCTTGCGAACAAACAACATTTCACAATCTGGCAGGAACCTGCACACACACATCTGCTCACAGAACCTGACCTGCATTGTCCAAACATCTCAACCAGACTGGAAGTGCAAAATAATCACCGGGTGTTCCCAGGGCGTGTGCCCCTGTGTGCCATCACATGCACGCTGCCATCCCGCAGCCCAGGTGACTGCCAAGACTCAGCTGGAACCACTGGCACGACAGCAACATCCCAAAATACAGGGCAGCCTACTAGAGTCGAGGCCCAGGTGTTTAGWAATGGCTGCATAATCAGCACCTTACTCATATTTTATGTAACAGTTACGAAGCTGAGGAGCAGGAGGGAAGCCAAATGCTAAGCCCAGCAGAGTGGGGTGGTGTTAGGATTGCACCCTGCCTTGTGCCAACCTTCCCTGGATCCAGCCAGCATTGGAAGGGCAGAATCAGCCCAAAAGTCATCTCCTTGCYCTTCCTAACATACCTTTCCAGAAGATTTGATTCCTTTAAACAGGGCAGCTCCAACAATGATCCAGGAGAGGAGGAGGCAGAGAGCCAGGTACCACACRATCCTGCCGGTCTCGTCCAGCCCACTCGAGCGCTGAAGAGCCACTTTGCTGCAAGCACACGATGCTCCCTGAGGACAGCAGCACACACACCCCTCCTCTTCAGCTTCAGGTGTGTGCTGCTGTTACAAGACACTGCAGCCTTCTCCAGGAGTGKGCAGTTAGTATTGCATGATTAGCATTGAAAAACTGTATATTTAAATGCATTTCCCCCCTATTTTTGAAGCCTACCAGCTCTCAGCTAYCCAGACATCTCTCATACAGCCCCACTCAACTCTTCTGTTTTAATCATGAAATTCTTACAGCGAGAGAAGAGCCCATTAGAATCAGTTTCCAGGAACCCAGAGAACATGAGGAAAATTGAGACCATGGAGATGTAAAGAAATGGCAATTTCACAACAGCTCCAGATTCAGAATAAGGTGAATATATTCTACACAGTAACTCCTGAGGGAAAAAAAAGTATATGCTATACTTAAAGATACTAAGTAGTCCCTACCAGGACTCCAGAGAAGAGGATTCCTTTAAATAGGAGTATTTTTCAGTATGTTAAATATTGATTCACTTGCTTCTCTTTCTATACATAATTTCTTTTATAAAGGCCAAATTTATCAATTAAATTTTAAGTGATTTGCATGCCCATGTCCCTTTACTAGGTTTTTCTGGACTGCAAGATAAGACAAAAGGTGCATCCAAAACCACAATACATAGAAAGGTATTTTTAGTAATTTTAAAAAWATATTTACTTACTTCCAGTATTGTTCACTGGGAAATTGCACTGGTTTGTAGTTTATGGTGCCATTTATACACGTGAGATTGTTGCTTGCGATGAACGAGAAGTTTGCATGAATGATTTCCCCATCCATGGTTGCATTGCAGTCATTTACTGAAAGCAAGGAAAAGGAATCATTAACACTGCCATGAGTTATAAAAAAATCAGACTATTACAACAAATATGTTTCCTAAGCAGTTACAGCTTCAGTTTGCCCACTAACAATTTTTAGAAATAAACCTGGAATGTCACTTGCAGCTGTGACTTCACTAYTTGACTGTAAATGAAAACACCAAGAATCTGGTGTGCTCACCACATTTTACTTATCCTCAAGGATATTTACAAGAATCAGAACTGAGCAAATTGTAGCTTTGTTTACTCTACAAAAACCTTTGTCCCAAACCAAGATGACACATAGATCATCTGATGTCAACTTCATCTCATTATGGCAGAGCACTTATTAGAGCACTTTAAATATTTTCCTTGGAACAGGGYTGGAGGAACAGAAACTGGGATTGGGAATTTTTTTTGCCAGCACATACATTTTATCAGCATATACATCAGCATTTACTGGGAAATCTTGCTGAAGCCTATTTCAGGACAGCTTCTTCAAGTTCACTTTTGTATTCTTCCAGCATTTACAAATCATGTACTGAAATAATTTTAGTCTTGCCAATAAGTAATCATCAACTTCTTGTTACACAAGGCATCTAAGAAGAGATTTTTCAGATATATGGTTGAGATACATTTACATTAATACTGTAAACAATGTAATCCATCCTGATCTTGTCCTTGTTATTTTAATAATCAAGGGTTACCAGTCAAGGCAACTTCCAGTTGCTAACTGATAATTACCTCACCAACTTCACCTTTTGCCTTAAACTGGTTTGATACGGAAACTGGTGAGATAACAAGTGTTTGGCCCTACATCTGCTGTCCAACATAACAACAATAGTGTGGAGATATGTTCCAAAGAGTTAATGAAGTGTGAAACCAGTGTCTCAGGATTGCCATAGCCACAGGGCAGRCAAGGGGTAATGAAAAAACCTTGATAAAAACTACTGCAGTAGCTKGTCTCATGGAAGGAAGAGTGGGTTTTTTTCACCATGAAGCGTGATTACATGAGAATGCAGTATTTCCAGAGACTTAACTAGAACTAGAAGAAGCTGAAATTTTAAAGGAGAAGAAATTGATCTAAAAAGGTGSTTTCAGCCCAGCTCTCTGAAGATTTCCCAAGAACCCAGAACTGGTGGCAGGGATAAGTRGATAAGTATCACTCCTGCATGTTCAGAGACAAAATTCCAGGAAGGACCTTTGAAGGCAAGGGTAGCAGTCTTGCTCCTATACTTCTCCCCAGAAAACAGTAAAATCACAAAAAMCAGTAATATTAAACTCTGTGTGGTAAGTGTGGTACCTAATCGTGTCTTGCTGCAGAATTCATCTGCCCAGGAAAAGCATTCTGACCACGGCAGCACTTTTTGAAATGAAGCAAATAAATAGTAGAGTGCATAAGCTATGATAACGTTGTAGTAGATAGTCACAAATGTGGAGATGATGACCATCGTGATGCCCACTCCTAGGAAAGAGAAAGACACAATATCTTAAACACCCCAAATTTGGGTTGGAACAACAACAAAAAAAACCACTCACCAAAATTAAGCCTTGACATTTAAAAAGCTACTTGGGAAGAAGCTGAAGTTGTTTTTTTGTTTGCTTTTAAAATATTTTTAACAGCAAACAAACAGTGAAATCTTAAACCCATGAAATAATGGATATGATCCAAACTGACCCTCTTGAACATGGTTTTGAAACAGTTTGAATCAGGCCCATTGAAAAATTGGACTTTTTGCTAAGTCTAAAGGAGAAATTCTGTATTTTGTTCTCTCCCATTCAGAGGGAATCTAAGTAAAATAAAAGAAACTGTACTAGGACTGCCCAAGCCATTTCAAAGATTCCACTGTAATGAATGCTTTTAACTACAGTAAGTCGGTRCCAATATTACTGTTCTCCCTCTTTGTTAAAATGAGTTTGGGAAAGCCTGACAAACTGTACCAATCATCTTAGAAATGCTATTTAAGTTTCTGTCTTCACAGACACATAAAAGATATGCTGTGTTTAAAAACCTTGCTTTAAAGATAAACACACTTTCGTGAAAGGTTKCTTGTGCTGCAGAACAGAGGCTGGCAAAGACAGTAAATGTTGGGGCAAYCAGTTTCTGCAGGTGACAAGCAAAATTCTTGTTGCATCAGAAACAAACTTCCTTGTTCCTACATTAACTCCTCTGGCACATTAAGAGGACAAACAAAACCATTGCATAGTCCTTTACACCCACAGTACAGGACCGGGATGGATGGGAGTAAGTAAAGCACAAGGTTAAYTGTTTCCAAACAAATCTCCCTGTGAAATGCAAACCCACACAGAGACAAACTAGCACTACAGAGTGCAACCGTTTCTCTTATCTCAAGAGGCACCTCACCTTACAAAGGCAGAGTCTAACTGTTTTATCACACCTGCAGATGACTCCCAAGGCAGCTGCTGGATGATTGTGCACAGCATGGCACAGAGCACCCAGACCCCTGTGCCAGCACTGGCAGCCAAATACAGAATTAGTCCATCCAATACAGAGTACCTTGCAAGCTACACTGGACATGAAGCATGAACAAACAGCGATAAAATCAACTTCTAAAATTTATTTTCAATCTGTAGCACACAGTACACCAGTTGTTTTACTGGGGCTTTTCCTCACACAGGGATGATTTCTTTCTGCCTRGACAACTGCAGTGAGGGTGATGTGCTGCTTAACACCGAAAGAATGATTGATATAACTTCTCATAACCCACAACCTTTTGGGGGAAATCTTTAGTCAACATCTGCTWATTAACTGACTAATGAGGAAGTATGTACGTGAGAATATAACCCTGTCCATGCAACACTGGGAATAGCAGCTACATGAATATTGTTGACTTGGATTTAGTCACCTCATGAAGGAATCATTAATTTACAACAGGCTATCACTACAATAAAAAAGATTTAAGGAAACATAACAGAACCAACCTTGAAACAATGGTAGTATTCTCCAAATGGAAACTGGCCCTTGACTGGCAAACTGCCCAAGGGAACATTCCATGAAAAATAAGGGCAAACCAGCTAATGCCAGCATCAGGGTGTAGGGGATTAGAAAAGCACCTGAGAGAAGGAGATAAAAAAAAAAAGAAACGGGGAAAAAAATCAATCACACACAGAAAAAACAATCTTTCAGCATTCACCACAGTTTTATCGCATTCTATACTCCCCCTTTTCCCCCTACTAAAATATCCCACTGTAGGGACTTTTTTCCAAAATAGATTTGTTTCTAAATCGTGTTTTCTGTAAGGCTAAGTAGTACCTGCAGTGAGGAGGCACAGACRGTCAGGACAACTTCTGGTTTAAAAAGAATCTCTTCTTTTATAGAAGTAAAGTAATTTTACAAAAACTATAGAAGACACTGCTCTTATACAAGCAGGAACACTGCTCAGCTGTAGGCACCACCAGCCTTGTCCACTTTCTATTTAATCTTCCAGCTTTTAATTTAAAGAGGAACAGTTCCATTCCTTTGTGYACTTAGCTGTGTTTTGCAACTGGCATGTTCAGCAGCTACTGGACATCAAAGCATGAAAATTATTTTCTATGGTTGGCCGAGTCCTGTGTCAAGCAACGTCTCAGGGTGGCTCTTGTTCAAATCCATTTTAAAGTGCACGATAACCTGGTATCAATGAGCACCCTGTTCTGTGAAACGGACGGGCACTTCTTTGTGTGTGCACATGAGAGAGGGAAAGCGAGAGCACAAGTTTCATAAACATAACCTGATATCCCTGCAGGAATCTCTCCCCATCACTCTCGGTGAATTTAAAGCAATCAAGATTGTTAGATTGTTTGCATGGAAAAACAAAGGCGCAGAGGAGATTCAACTGCTCCTTATAAACATACCAGGTATGGTATATAATATAAACTTTCCAGGAGGTAAGCACTGGGGAAAGAGAATAGCTATTTAGACRAATAGAGGATCCTGGCACATGGACAAAAAAGGCGTGTGTTGGTTGTGAGTGAATCAGAAGAGTTCTGGAATTCTCAAGTAGAAATTTGCAATTAAATCTAAATACCGTTTCCCTTCTCAGCTGGTACCCAAAAAACACACAGATGCCTCTTACTCCCCTTCCCCATGAGCAGGCTCTATTCCAGCTCATGTCCAGTTTGGACAGAACATGCCCAGCCTCAGGGCTGGCYCTTGGAGCTTGCCCTTCTCTCTTCTGGGGAGAGTGTGCCCACCCRACCCTGCCACTCAGCACAGGTACCTCCTCCATTCTGGTAGGTGAGGTAGGGGAAGCGCCAGACGTTGCCCAGGCCCACAGCATAGCCCACCATGGAGAGCAGGTAATCGCCTTTGCTGGACCAGTTGCCACGCTCCGAGTTCTCATCGCTGTCACTGGCGTGTGCATCTTTTTCATTTGTCAAATTGAAGTCCTTGGAAGAGAAGAGGGAGGGCTCGTGATCACCCCCCAAGCAAGCAGGGCAGTCATATCCTCATTTCTCTGTCCAGAGACGCACCTTGAGACGGCTGAGCAGCCCGACAGGGTGGGCAGAGCCAACTGGGCTGCTAGTCCAGCTGATCCCTGGCAGGACAGCACAGACCTGTGAGAGAGGGTCCCACCAGAGAGCCCRGACACCTTCACGGCCAGTTTGCCCTACTGCCTTAGTCTTTCAAGCCGTCAGCTCCTGGGGACAGCTTCAGGAGTCTCCCCTATTCTGCTCCCACGCATGCCCAGATGTCCCTACACTTGTCCAGATGTTCACATCAGCACACACCTGTATGCCCACTTCAAAAAACACCTGTCCTAGTGCATTTCGCACATGCCCGGGCGCTCATCCTACTCTGCCTACCACTGGATCTCACCTGCCCCAGCAATTTCATACCTGCTCACCGCTCCCACAGCTGCCCACGTACCTGCAGCCTGCTCGCCCGAGGGCCTCTACGCCCACCTGGGCACCTGCTCAGGCGCACCCACAGCTATCTGCGTTCTGGCACACCTGCCCGGGTGCCCCCGGCCAGCCTGCCCGCCGCCTCACCTTCTTCTTCCCGCAGGACAGGAATCCGGGCAGGCTGAGCATCCCCATCTGTGCCGCAGCCGCTGCGCTCTGTCCGCGCCCGCCGCCTCCCGCCCTTTATGGGCCCGGCCCTTTATGGGCCCGGCCGCCGCCCGCCCCTCACCGCCCTGGCGGGAACCGCGGCACCTGAGCCGCCTCCCGCCCCCGGGGCAGCCCCAGGCCCCCCGCCCCACGCCAGCCCACTTCCTCGGGAACACCCACCCACCCACCTGCCGGACCTGCCCGTGCCCATCGTCAACCTGCCCATGCCCACTTCCCCTGCTCAACACCCGCTGCCCTCCGCACGCCCTGCCTGCTCGCCTTACCCCGAGCCACTTCCCCTSACACCAACCCGCGGCTCGCTCCCCCAGTCCGGGCTCTTCAGCCCTACCTTGTCTGTCACCTGCCTTCCCTTCTAGCTGTTCCCCACTCCTTCTCCTGTCCCTTTTCCTGTACCTACCCACACGCTCTCCCCTTTGTGCTGTCCCTCCGGGCTGCCAGCTCCCCATGGAACGCTGTCCCCGCTGTCCCTGTGCCTCCCCACAGAGCCGCTGCTGTGTGCCTCACCTGCGCTCACTGGCACAGAGACCCTGCTCCACCCCTACCTGCTCCACTCTCATTCTTTCTTAACCTGCTCCATGCTGGAGTCCAGCCTCAGGAGAYGGGGCAAAGAAAAGGGCACAAGGGGTTAAACGCCATGGAGATTTTGGCTTCTGAACGCACCTTTCAGGTACATGACAGGCACGGTCATGGCAAAGGGCAGGTCATAAAAGCAATCTCCAGAGGAAGAATTTGAGCAGAAGGATTTAGAGATTTTCCCTAAAACACTCCCCTGTTTCACCCACCAAGGTGGCTGTGACGTGCCACCCTTAAGGGGAAGGGGTGTCACAGTGACCTTCCCCAGGCATTCCATAAGGTCTCACAGAAGGCTGGTCAAAGCACGCTCCATGCGCGAGGAGACAGATTAACTGGTCACTTAATTGCTCTCCCTTTCTCAATTATCTTTTCCATGGCTCTTTCAGATCCACACCGTCACAAATAACCTTTCTGTCCCCAATTAGTGGGACTTTTCCATTGAGCAAAGTGCTACCCAGCGTGTCTCAATCTAGCCACAACAAAAAGGTATACCAGGAGTGAGAAGTGTGTGGGACAGCATCTGGAAGGTGGGAAGGTAAAATCAGATTATGTTTTACCATCCTGTGCAGCAGGTTCTCTAGGAGGCTTCTATTTTAGATACTGGAAAGATGCCAGAATACTCTTATCTTTGGAACAAAAAGCAAGTACAGGTGTAGTGTCCTGACAGGACGCAGGCTTTGGGAGAAAATAATAAGTAAAAATTAAAGAAAACACTCCTTTACAGGCTGTCTGCAAATTTGGAATTCAAGTGTCCAAGTGACCAATCACAGATGTTCAGGTTGGTTCTCTATGGAGCAATAAAAAAATCACCTAGACCAAGGACACCTGAGAAATTAGTCTATATTCTTCCAACTGTCTGAACTGTACATAAACTAAAGGAACCTATATGACAATCCTGATCTGAGTTAAGAATTTAAAATAAAATGGGAGAATGTGATTTTACTTTGGGTTCTGGGCAACTTCAGTATGTGTGGGTCACTATCTCCCCAGGGGGAAACAGCAATTTTCCAATAAACAATTCTGGACCTAACAAAAGCTCTGGGTTCTCTTCCAAAGTCATGATTCAGAACTGATTAGCAGCTTGTTTAGAAATGAAACATTAACAACAACCTGTTAGCCACAGCCTCTCCTTCCATACCGGGATTAAGTGAATGTGGTAATGCTGCAGAGTCACTGGCCAGTGTCATTCTCTCTGTGGAACTGAAGATGACTAAAAGTAAAACTATACTGGAGGTACCACTTCTCAGATGTGTTTTGCTTCTGACCACATGACAGTTTCGTTTGAAATGCATTTTCTCTATCTAAAGGACAGAAGTAACAATCAGGGCAGAGTGATAATTCCAGGGGYGAGCAAGGGAGAGATGAGTATCTCCAGAAAGGATTGTGCCTGAAGCAGGGCTGTATTTGTCCTGTTAGCCATGCAGCTGAAAGMACAGCAGCTCCAGTGCAGTCACGAGGGTCTGAGTCCATCAGGCTGACCCCTGAAGGGTCATCACAGCTGGGACAGCCCCCACTGACCAAGCACCATGCCAGCCAGTGACCCCTGGAATRTCTCAACTGGGAATACAGAATCATCAGCCAGCAAACCAGAGCCAGCTTGGCTCTACCACAGATGAGATATCCCATCTCCTGACCAGCAGCCTGACGTCATTTTTCTAATTTGGAAAGCACCCCTGGACTACTATCAATTCCACTTACTAAATATTCTGTTAATCCAATGGGGAGAAAAAAACAATTTATAAAAACTATTAATGATAATSTTAACTTGCTGAGAACACAGCAAACAATTCTGACATTTCTCAGGAACATATCTGTGTTTTCCATTTGGTTGCACCAGTGCTATTATCAGATGTTGGGTATTGCCCTTAGCTAACACAAACAGCTCTGGTGATACAGCAGGTTGTGTTTGATGTGCTTATTTAAGACTACGATGAGTAAATTCTGTTCTTAACCTGTATCTTCTGCGATAGCAGGACTTACTAATATTGGCACCTGGCACATACATCCAAAACTGATTCAGCARGCAAAGCTGGCACTCATTTACCTCTCCCCTTCCCAAGTGGCAAGAGCTGAAGACCAGAAAACCCACTTTGCAAATAGTAGCCATCATTTTAGAGTCCCCTAATCCTGGTAGATCAACACACAGACACCAACCAACYAGCCAAAAGCCACAAAAAAGCCCCATGTTGGCCTTCAGCATCCTAAACCATGTAGCCGTCCATCAGCAGCATGTAATTACCCTCATCCACAGCTCCACAGCAACGTTACACTCTTTACAAGAGAAGATCAGAAGGCCAGACAGGACTGCTATAAAGTGCCAGGTGAAGCAAGGCAGAAAGCTTGGGATGTCTCCTGCAGCTGCAKGAATTATCCTCTCCTCTACAGGTGAACAGAATCAAGTCCTACAGTTCACATTTAAATCAATCCTTTCTGCCAAAGAAAACATGAGCCTTGATTTTAAGACAAAGTGATAACAAGTGAGACAATTTCTTTGGTGTGAAACTGATCTACAGGTGACTTAGATCAAACCTTTACCACTAACTTAAAAAAAAATAAAAGAGCAATCACTGSTCTAGTAACCCATGAAAGCAAGGCAGCGCTCTCCATCTGGTGAGAAATATCYTATTTCACTGTGAGCCTGCTGTAAGCAAGGTGGAAGTTGTATCTACAAGGAAGGCATGTTAAGTGGCCCTTCTTAGATAAAAATGGAGAGGCAATGATGGCATTGTCAAGGACTCAGGCAAATTACAAAGGCAATGGTTGCTGAAATGGCCATCTGTGACTTCAGAGAGTGTCTTTCCAAGCAGACAGGGTTTATAGCAAAACACAGAGTSTGAATTACTTAAGAGGCCTTGTGCCAATACTGTCTCACCTGCTTCTAATGGCCCTCATCCAACAGTTTGTGCAACCAAGGTATGAAGCAGATTCTGCTCCCARCTCTGCTGATCCCTTCAGGGAGATGAAATTTTGCCCCTGGGAAAAAGGAGTTGACATTTATATACCCCTCCTGGGTCGATTTTCTTTATCAGTTTTGGGCTTTTCTGCATAATTGGGCTGTTCATTGCTGCTGCTCAACAGGCCATCAGGAGATCCAATATGGATCTCCACCCACGAGTTCATTTTCATTAAATGGAAATTCTGAAAAAATTTGATTCACAATCTTAGAAGGGGAACATCGAAAGTTATCAGTAATATGTGATGAGTTTGGTTCACTAACATAATRCTAAATAATACACTCTATTATACATTATGTAATTATATTAAAGAACCTGTATTGGCAAAACCTCAACGATTGCTGCTTCATCCAATTTTCCCCCAACTTCAGGACTTTTGGATTCATCTCTAAGGCAATCTCAGTGGTGAGAAATGCAGCAAGGTTACTCCTACTTGCCTCTATGGAGTCTGCTGTCTCATAACCCAAAAAAAGCAGCTGAAACCTCCTTCCTTTATCTCCTCACAATGGAACAGTTGCAAAACTGCCTTTAATGCAAAAGGCTTAAGCCTTGGAAGTCACGCTCATAGGATAGGTGGAGACCTGAAACAATATGGAAAGCACATTTGCCTTCAGGCATTTTCAGCAGGTTGCAGCCTGCAAATTGCTCATTTTACACACACTAATCAAGTTAGTGATGGGGAATTTTTATATATGCATGCAGGACAAAAATGATAAAGCAGAAATAAGCTTAAATACACTAACAAAGCTGAAAAGTTCTGCAGCACTGCTCTTCTACTGCACTGAGCCTGGAAGATTTTGCTGTCCCAGCCACTCAGGACGGAGCCACAGGTCTCCATCCACAAAATTAATCAAGATTTTTTCAAGACTCTTGGCAAGATTGACAGTTCTGTATCTATGGTACAATAATCTCCACTTTAGTTGATTTTATTCAAAAGTTGGAACGAGCTTCTCAGAGACTTCACTCTCTGACCAAATCTCTTTCCAGGGTAACAGGGTCTTTCTTGTAGTACTGTCTCTCCCCACTCCCTGAGAGCTCATTGATTTCGCAGAGATTACTGAAGTTTCCATACAGGAAAATAAGTTAGTTCTGAAACACAGAGGTCCCTATAAAATAAAGAGAAAAATAACAAAAAAAAAATGGACCAAATGTTGAAAATGGACTAAGATGTTGAAACCACACAACCCCCTGATAAAACCACACATCCCCTTGAAAATCTCTACTGAAATCCTGAGTTGCATTAGAGTTACCAAAGTGCTGTGAACAAAAGCATTTGTGGCCCAGGGCTCCTCATTCCCCCAGTTCTGCTCCTGCCTGTGGTACAGAGCACCTCAGTTTTCCATGAATCATGGAGCCTTGTGCCAAACAARCACCCAAGCCTTTGCAAGATGCATCAGACAGGTGTCACTGCATCTGCCCCCTCCCTGGCCGTCCCAGAGGCACATTCCAAACACGTTCAACTTGTCTTTGGGCAACTGAAACACTC